AAAAAAAAAAAAAAAAAGAAAAGAAACCTCGGTTGTGAAAGCATGACGCAAATGGCAAAATTGTTCTCTTGGTTAAAATGCTGAATAACGTGTTTGCTAAAGGAAAATGCTGCAAGAGATTTCTACGACTGAACGAGCGGCATATTCATAACAGCCACTTGAACAAATCGCTCAAAAATAGATATAACGAAAAGGTGAGAGATAAATACCTGGATAATATTTACAACAATGAAATTAACGTTAGCACGATAAGTAAAAATATAAAAAACAAAAAGGTTGACTACTTGAGACAGCTGATTTATGATGAGGCCGAGGGTGATGAGTATCTTCTGGACGAGACAATTTTGGAGGAAGTAAAAAGTAAAAAAGGGAAAGGCACCACACATGGCAGGAACAGCATTAGCAGCAATAGCAATAGCGGTAGAGGGGGGGCTGAGGGGGAAGCGTGCGGCCCGCCCGAGCAGGGGAAAGAAGAAATGAGCGAATCCAAATACAAGCAAGCGATAAGAATGTACAATTTGTTAAAGTTAACGGACAAAGCCAACGTTTTCGATGAGGATGTTTTTATGAATATAGATAGCAAAATTAATCATGACGTTTATCAATTTTCCCAAAAAAATATCCTGCACGATGGTGAAAATCAAGTGGAAGGCTCGGCAACCAGTAAGGGCAGAAGTTTTATAGATGGTCGAATGGTGGACAATCAAAACAGAAACTTGTCCTCCGCTGTATCCATGGAAAACAAGATAGAAACCTCTCCCGATAAGGAACCGGGCAGTGAGGCTAACATGGATGATAGCAATTTTATGAGTATTACCAAAATGAACCTCCCCATATTCAACCCATCTAGCTTCTGTCTAGCGGTAGAAAGTTTAACAAACCATATATGTGATGATTTAATTTACTTATTTGGGGACCTTATGGAAGAAAAAAAATTACCTAAAAAGGACGAAAATGATAGACTATACAAATTTATGAACTCTTTATGTGAGTTTTTTTCCCTAGAAAAGAGAGAAACTGATGTAGATAGATGGATAGAAGAGGTATACATGAAAATAAAACCTAAATTGCCATCCGCCTTTCGCAATATGAAAAACGAGTATGTCCAAAACTGGATTAAAGAACATATTAAGCGAGTCCTAGCTAATGAAAAACGAAATAATCAAATGCTATATAAAGAAAAATATTACAATTTGGGTTACGATTTTGCTTATGATATCTTACCCATGAAGGACAGCAGCGAGGAGGATCCTAAAACAGAATTTTCCACCGAAAAACTAACATACAATTTTAAAACCATCGTTGAATTTTTCCTGGAGAAAAAAGTGGACTCCAATTTGGAAGAACAATTAAATATGATGTTTTTAAACTTAAAAAAAATCGGACTTGATAATTGGCTCAAAATGGACGTAAAAGATTTTGAAAAATACCTCCTCAGAAATAACAACTCCAATTTTCTGCAAATAACAGAAAATGACAAGCACGTTTCGTACTTAATGTTAAAATGTGCAAGTCGGAACATTACAGACTTTTTTTTTTACGATGAATTTTCTCCTTTTCATCTTTTTAGTGAGAAACCCAAATTTTCCATTGAGGAAAAAATAAACGCTTTGCAGCCGAATAAATACATATCAGACGATGAGTTAAAAAAAATGATTTTCTCAAACGAGTCTGCTGTAACGATTGTTAGTAAAAAGAATTCTGGCGATGCTCATCACGATATGGACATTGATCTCTTTCTTGAAAAGGAAAAAAAGTACAATATGAACAGATCCTTAATTACCTACACTTTTGACGAAAGTACTGATTCGTACAGTTACAAGTATAAGCAAATTCCAAACACTATTTATGACCATAATACGAATAAGTATATAAGGGAAAAGGAAACTATTGACCCCATGCTAAAATTAAACGAAATGAGGTCCTCCATATTGGAAGTTAAACGCATGATGAGCATGACAAAGGGTTAGTACACATTTGCGTGAGGTGTGCATTCGTGCCTGCTCATGTTGCACCGCATTTGTCCTTTTTTTTTTTTTTTTTTTTTTTGGTGAAAGAAAAGTTGTCAGGACCTGCAAAACGGTGTTATATATATTTCCTTATCAATTTTTTTTTTTTTTACCCCTTGCAGATGGACGCGTGTACTACATAAGAATCATCATCGTGATCGGGAACGGCAAGGGCGTGTACGGCTATGGCGTGGGTTTCGGGAAAAACATTAAGGAAGCGAGAAACAGCGCCCTGCTGAATTCAATTAGTAACCTAGATTTTATAGACTACAATTATAAGAACTGCGTTTTAAATTTTCCAGTCAGTGGACAAGAATATTCTTCCCATGTTAAAATAATACCTAGACCGCTAGGCAAAGGATTGAAAATCAACAGGAAGTACCTCCCTTTAGGTTACATACTTGGGTTAGACAACGTTAAGATATCCTTCAGTGGCAGCAACAAATGGATGAGTAGAATTAAAGCACTGAAAAGATGCCTTAACAAAATTGTATCTATAAAAACGCTATGCAAAATGACGGGCAAAAAATATGTATGCCATTTTGCACCTCATTATTGTACCAGTCACTGGCCAGACTACTGGTTTAAAAATGTTTTAAAAGAATACAAATATAAAATTCAAAGGATCCAGAAAAAAAGAGCTATGGTATGCAGAAAGAATTTCAGGTCCAACATTTCCAAAATACCTGAGGAGGTCCGGCCCGATTTCACCCCCTACACGTGGAAGACGCCGATACAGAAACATGTCGAGTCGCAAAAGATGAAAAAGTACATCGACAACAACATCTATCACGTCAACGTCTTTTGATTCGGAATGTACGTGTGTGCATATACATATATGTATTCATTTATATGTATACATTCGCACACGAATATACAGATTTTGCTGCGTTCGCAAAGGAGCTAGGCCTACAAAATTTTGAATGGGCCAATTTGGACAGCAGCTAAAAAGGAGCCTCCCCTATCATAACCATGTGTGTGTAAACGCCGATATTATCTGTGTACATCTTTATGTCCTAATGGCAACCACCACTTAGCATTCGAATTTTCTCACACCGTACTAAATATATTTTCCCGCCCCTTTGTATTTCCCCAACAACATCCACCATTTATGTTGCTATATTATCTTTTTCTAATTTTTTTTTAATCTATCTTTTTGATCATGTTTATAAACAAAAAAAATAAAATAAATAAATTAAATGAGTAAAATAAAAAATACGAACATGGAAATACACACCGGGGTCATACGCACAGGGGCATGAGCACACGTGCGTAAATGAATTTTCCGAGTTTGTGTTGGGACACTTGTTTTGCTTTTTATTACAAATTAAAACATTTTAAAAATGTTATAAAATGGGGCAATAAATATTTACAACTCTTAATTCAAAATACAAACAACAAAAGAAAACAAAAAAAGGATCCCTTTTGTTACTTTTTTTTTTTTTTTTTTTCCGTGTTTTTTGCTTTAATAAAAAAAAATGTCAGTGTTCCTTATTTATTATTAACTGTTTATCTTCGAATATTTTTGGAGTACTAATATTCATTAAAACGGAGAATCCAATGAACAGGAAAAAAAATATTAAGAAGATGACTATCAATTGGGATAGGATGCTCTGTAAAAAAAGGGGATGGCAAGAAGAGGACGAATGAGAAGCAGGGTCAGGCAACGGGCGGCATTACACACAGACAGGCACTAGTGCTTACACTTATATATTTTATACATAGGCATATGCGGACGGTACTATTTTTTGTTGCGGTTCACACTTACCGGGCTTGTATGAAAGACATTTTTATTTTGCTTTGCATCTTCTGGGTTGTCAAAAATGTCAGTTTCCTGGCAGGTTACAATGTAGCTTATATATTTGGGGTGCTTCTGGTAAATGAGCGGTATGATATCTGTGCAGAAAAGGGGAAAATCGGTAAGCGCACAATAATTTTAGAGCACTGACATGGGTAAGCACAACTATATACATATATATATATGATTCTTTGCAGGAGGAGCACGTTTATGTAGCGTGCTTTGCTGCTTGTTCATATTTGTTACCTGCTTGCCCGTTAATTGTGTACACGTATATGGAAAAATTATTCGTCTACAGGGGGGGGGGGGGGGAGAAACGGGGGGTTACATACGCAAAAATGAATGGACTATTCGGAATCCTCGATATTCAAAAGAGTCCTCTCGTTAAAGGTTTCTATTTATCCTCATTTTTTTTTTTTTTTTTTTTTGCATGATCCGGAAACTTAACACACGTAATAAATTTATGTGGACGCGTTTAATCTGTCCTCTCATATGTTATCATTTCTTCGTTAAAAGAAACATCGTTGTGCACAGCAATGGGGAGATAAACCCGACGCGCACGCAGATCGCTTACGCTCGGCGTTGTGATATATTCCAGGGTGTCCTGCTCGTCTGTAGGAAAGGAATAATATAAAAAAAAAATAAAATAAATAAAATTATCATCATTATCGTCATCGCGACACAATTTATAATGGACACGTGTGGGCTGCACCCCTTTTGGCGTATTCCCCTGCGTACCTAAATATTTGAGATTTCTTCCCTTGATCAGATCCTTAACATATGCGCAGGTTCCATTTATGGTGACTTTGGATTTCTGTAAAACGAGCGTTAAAAGGAAATTATAAAATGAGCCAACTCCACACTCAGGCAAGTGAAAGCATAAGAAGGTTAAGCGCGGGTCAAAAAAAAAATATACACATATATATCCCTTCATACATAAAAACGTGCCTAAAGCGGCACGTCCAAAAATACACATTTTTATCCTATTACATTGTAAATATTTGAATATGTTGATGTTATGTCGGCGTTCTTCGTCTGCACAGGAGGGAAAAAAGTGTCATGATTAAGTGCTAAAAAAAAAAATATTTTTCTTTAGGACGGACACAAGTGCTTGTTCCTTACAGTCGTGTCTAAGAATATGTTAAAAACTTTCTGAAATGGGGAAAAGGGAGGGAAGAAAAACGTGAATGATGGAAAAGTGTGTAAATGTAAATATTATATGCACTATCCATATCGCATATATATTATGTAGGTATGCACGACGGTGATGTAATCGTCCATAAATTTTTTATCCTACATCGGACAGGTTTAAAACGGTGTCCTTGTCAAAGTTTTGGATAACTTCATTAGAGCTGTGAAGGGGGGTAGGGTAAGAGCAATTAGACATGCAAATGGTTATGCTGATTCTTACATATATGTATTTATGCTGGTACGGCGTGCGGCAAACACTCCTATTTGCACAGTTAAATATGTGAAATAAGGGGTGAGCAAACTGCGTGCAAATGAATTTTCTCTCGTCGACAGCGCCCCTTTGGTGTACTAATGAAGGGCATTCAAAGTGTCCCTCATCATTGCAAAAGTGACAAGCGCTTTAACATCGATGTGTTTTCGCTCTTTTTTTTTTTTTCTCTCTTTCGCTGTCACGTTTACTTACTCCACAATTATAACATCACACTGGACATAATGTAGCAAGAAGCAGAGGAGGGATAGAAGAACAAAAAAAAGTCTAAGCATTTTTTACAAACTTGAAATATATAAAAACTATCATGCGTTTATGGAAACAGTCGTTGCCTTTATTCAAAAGGAGGATTTAATTTAAGAGTATCCAAGGGAACAATTAAAACAAAAAAAAAAAAAAATAAAATAAAAGTTTATATGACAAGGGCTTGCTTATAAACTTTTCCAATAATCATTCAGTACGAGCATAAAATGCGCAAACTGGATACTTTTTGCGAGAAAATAATGGAAGATCAAAAATGAAGTACATACGTTTGCATAAATATGTATATATGTAACTCATAGCGATGAGCGACTTGGAGTTTTTTCCCTAGGATTTTATGCTATATGTTATACGTTTTTTAATTTCTTTTTGCGTTATATATGGCCTTTTCCCTCACTGGGGTTTTTGTTCCACGCAAATGTATGATATATATATAAAACCCATGCGTGCGTATATATATGAGCGTGCATATGTTCATGTGATAAATACTTGTATACGTTTTGTACCAATTCGTATGTTGGTTTTTTCCCCTTTTAAATTCGTTTTGTGTACGGTTAAATATTAAAAAAGGAGCAATTTTTTTATGGCTTTCGAAATTGCGGGAGAAGCAAAAATTAAAACATGTTTAACATCTCACCATGTGCAAAAAAACTTAAAATTACATGCTTTTAAAAATGCTGTAGTATATTGTATCAAAACGTTTAAAAAAAAAAAAATATTCAATTTTATTTTTTATATCATTTTTCTGGAACGAGGAAATATGTTAAAAGGAGGAATACTTTTGCGACAAAAACAAAACAAAAAAAAAAATGTAACTTAAAAAAAAAAAAAAAAAAGGGAAAAAATTGTTACATACCTTTTATAAGCATTGTAGTGTGCTTACAAAAGGATGCCCACCAAAAGGTTTATGGTTAACAGGTTAGGAAAATTACGAATATATAAAATGAAAAAGGGGAAACTTCAAATGTGAGGCGTAATTATGTAGTAAGGCATGTGTAGTACGCACAATGTGTATATTTAGGTAACTAAAAAATAGCTAATCTGCCTTTGCGATGCTATAACTGAAAAAAAAAAAAAAGCGTGCACAAGTGGTTAACTTCAAAGGGACAGCCACATTATTGTTTCAATTTTTGAATTCCTTTATTCCCCGCTTAATGATCTGAAAGTAGAAAAAAAGGGGAAATGAAAAATTGTAAGTGAAAACGCAAAGTGAAATGTGGAAATTGTTCTCCATACTAAGCTATCTCGCGTTCACGGGCATGCACAGGGGGCAAACCGGTATACGCACAAAGAAGCATGAGAGCAAACGCATCGGCATATGCAAGTGGAGATCACCACGATGGGTTATTTTGTAGGGCTCTTAACAAAACTTCCTCCCGTTTTGGAGCCAAAAAGTAAAACACATCGATATGTAACTATGCTGAAGCATGCACCACGTGCAAAGTGCTAGACGTTCCAAGTTGGTGTTGACCCGTGCCGCCCCCCCGTGTGTCCACAACATGTGGAAGGCCAATCAGCCTCAAGCTTTCTCATAATTACCGATGAAAGAAGGCAGTCAAAATTTTTTGCCGGCGTAAACATTTTGTACTCATCCAAATGTATAATATTTTTGTTTTCCAGATTTTTTAACTCATTAACAGGATCGCACATGTGTATGTGCTCGAGTTCCTTTTTATTGTGAATATAACGCGTCCTACACTTTTTGCTATTATTTTCTTGGTCAATGTAATTTAAAATTCTGTGCATGGTTTGGCTATCTATATCTTTGATATCCATTGTGCCTGTTTTGATAAATGGCTTTAAAATTCTGCTAAACTTTTTGACCCAACCGTTACCATCGATTTCACCATTTGCTGTAATTAATAACAAGTACCTCTCGTTTTCTACCCTTAATTTATCAGGCAGATAAAAAAAACTCGTCAACACCCTCACCTTCAATGAACTAGACATATATAAAAATCGCTCAGATATATATTTAATTAATTTGTTGTTTAATAATTTTGATGCTTGGGAAGATGACCAATTATTTTTTATACACTCTAAATATTTTATGTACTTGTCACTGATTTCATTGCTTGCTTGTTCATTTGTTTCTTCCTTTTTAGCTGTAACCCCTTGGGTGTCATCGTTCTCCTTCTCTACGTTGCGGTCCTTATCAGAGCAGCCTTCTGCGGAAGCGTCTTTCTCCTCGTGAGCCTGTTTTGTCTGCCCCTCCGTCTTTCCACCCTCGTCCACACAAGTCAGCGTATCGTCTTTTTTCATTTGTCGTGTAAATGGGGATACCAGTACACACGTGCATGCAAGCGCGAAGGGGGTATATATATACCCACGTACACATGTGCATATGTATGTCCTTTTTTACACGGACCTATATATGTGTGTGTAGAAATCTGCACGCACGTACTCAAATATACACTTGCACAAATTTTATCCGTTGCATCAGGTTTGGGTAGTGCCAAGTGCCAATTTTTTTTTTTTTTTTTTCCACTACCCTTTGCAAATTATCTTGTGTTATTCTGTAAATTAAAAAAAAAAGGAAATAAAATATCATTCCATTTCCCTCCCTTGCGTTAAATTTAACTCCGTTTGCACTTGGATTATGCGCTCGTCCTATTGAAGTTTTGTTTTCAGTTTGCATACTTGCGTCATTTTTTTCGTCACACATTTGTAATGTTCATTTTAATTTTCTAACTCAATAATTTTAGAAAGTGTAATAGAGCAAATCACAGTGAATATGCATACAAATTTTTACAAAAAAAAAAAAAAAAAAAAAAAAAAAAAAAAAAAGATAGCACATTGTAGTATAGTTTCATGCAAAAAAGTAAAATTAAAACTGTACATATTTTAGTGAAATAGTTTTTACAAATTTTTTATTTCACAAAGAAACTTAAAAAGAGGAAAAAAAAAAAAACATCTCATAAGATAAAAGTTTTTAAAAGAATGATGGTTCAAATGATTGATTAAAAAATAAATAACAAATAAAAGGCACATGCAGTGGTTACTATAGGAAAAAGTGACTGTTTAAAAACTAATGAATATAACTGCGGTAAGAATTTCCCCTGCTAAGACAAGTCGTATGTCACCCCTTCTATGAAAACGTTACACACAGAGGCACGCGCTTCGCTGAAAGTGAACAGGACCGTTCACGTGTGTATGTGCGTCACCAAACCGACATAGAAGAGTATAACGTGCTCATTTGCAACCATTTCAGCCATTTATCGGATCGCCCCTGTTAACAGCGCGTTCCTGAAATGCATTGATGGCACCTCTCTTGTAAGCTACTCCGTAGTTATCCTCTCGTCTTGGCCGCAGTTTCAACTTTCGTAACTCATTACAATCCCATGGACGTGCCAAATACATGGGCAGTTTTGCACTTGTAAAACCCAAGTGAACAAAAAAAAAACGAACACCCGTCTTGATTGGAAGTTTCGTACCATTTCTGCGCAACTGCCATAAGGGTGACACATTTTTCAAACGCTTAAAAAATGCAAGATGCACTGATCTTGTTACAAGGACCTTTTTCTTTTGTATTCCTTTTTTACACAAAAATGTGTAAACAAACACATTTGAATTAATGATTTACAAAATGAAAAAAAAATACGTGAATGAATTTTGGTAAAAACAACAGACAAAATTAAAAAAAAAAAATGAGTTGCTATTTATAAAGTTGTAGTTAGTGTTGTTATTATTAATAGGTTAAAAAACAATAGTTACATGAATAAATTAATACGTGATTGCAGTGTTGCGTTATAATTATTAAAACATTATTATGATTTTAACAAACATTGTAAAAAAATTAAAGCGGCAAAAAAAGGTTATTAAAAAATGAAAACAATTTTTTTTTTTTTTTTATCGCTTGAATTATATTACAATTACGCACACATGTAGATTTACATTGTATTGCGTACAGGATTAAAGCTTTTAAATCGATTAATAGGTTTAATATGAATACAAATATGTGTACATGAGACCTAGTAAAAACAACATATTATTGTCAAACACCTGCTCCTTCGTTGGAGCACAACTTGAAGTTTTTGTCAAACAAATTTGTAAAAAAAAAGAAATTCTCTTTTTGTCTTTCACTTGTCCTTACAATCAAGCAAATTTTGTACTTCCACAAAAGGTGAATAATTGATCCGCAATTTCTTCCCCAGCACACAGGCACATCCACACGAGAGACATACACAAACTCCACCATCTACTTTCATTTTCCAGCCAAATCAGGTGTGAATTATGTTGTAGCAAGAATTGTTGTTGCACTCGGAATTCATATAATTTTCATAATTACCCTCCTGATAATTCCCATCGCTATTATTATTGTTCAAATTATTTTCTGCGTAGGTTCCTTTTTTAAATGGCAATACATTATTGGCGGTATTCTTCCCATGGATGTACGTGGTGGAATCGCTACGGTATTTGTTATCCTCACTGAAGTAAAAATTTTCTGACTTGATTGGCGGGGTTTGATTGTTCGTACAGCTATCGCTAGCAGCGGAATAGTTATTTTGATCGTGAAAGAAAAGATTGTTAACGTAATTATTTTTCATCTGCATATTATCCATGGTGGTACTGTTTGCGTAATAATCGCAGTACTGATTATACAGGTGGTTCATGTCCTCTACGTTCTCCATAATAGGCATGCTACTGTTATTGTTACTGTTGTTGCTAATGCTGTTCCTGGCGTCGCTTATGGAGCTGTTGAAGGAGCCGTTCATGGAGCTGTTCATGGAGCTGTTCATGGAGCTGTTCATGGAGCTGTTCATGGAGTCGTTCATCGCGTTACTCATGACGCCGGTTGCGCTTTCCCCGTTTTGAGAATCCATACTGCTCAGCAGCAAGTTGTTATCCAATTTTAGCTGGCTGTACACGTTTTCCCCGTTGTAATCCTTCGTGTCTTTCATTGGAGAGGAGAAATTTTCATAGTTCTTTAATTCACTGTTACGTATAATAAAGTCCTTATGGTGCTCATTCAGCTTTTGCTCTGAGGAGTTGTTGCTGCTATCCAAACTACTGGGAGATACAATTTTGCAATCCATATTCGAATTAAGATATTCATTGCAGTTTGTGCAGACGGTTATAAAATCATTAATTTTGTACTTCCTCTCATGTGTACATACCTTTTCCTCATTATCTGAGTTAAAATTATATACACCAAGCATGTCGCTCATGTTATTTTTGTCTTGACTCATATCATTCATTTGTGGCTTATACGATGGAGTAGCAGACATTTCTTCACCCTTGATCTTTTCGTCCATTTTTGGCATGTTTAAAATGTTCTCATATAAATTATACTCATTGCAAAAGTTGTTTTTAATGGGCGTGGCATTTTCCCCCTCGTTCGCAAGAATTGGCAGTAGTAGATCCTTCAGCGCATTGTTGTTTTCCACTTTGTTATCCTTTGAATCTATATTTTGGCCTTCACATGACAGTGTGGAACTGTTATAGTTTTGCTGTTTTTCACTTGTCATATCATCCTCTTTATTGGCCAGTTTGCCAAAATTGCTGGCTAGGTTTTTTAGATAATTATGGAAATTCTCTTTTTGCTCGTCTGATGCTTTATCCGACAGGACGTGTGCAAGGGCGGCTTTAAATTCGTTGTTGAAATACTTGAGGTTTTCGTTCAAATTGCACATGTTTAGCAATCCATCATTTTTTCCATCCGCCACGTGTTCGCCATTATTATTTCCACTACCACTACTGCCACCACCACTGCCACCATTTGCGTCATTTTCATACACACGGTTTTCAAACTCGGGGCCAGGCAAGCTTCCTGTCATGTTACCGCCCATGTTGTTACTAACACCAGTGCACAATTCGCAACCGGTGGGGACATTCTTCGCGTTTATATGTTCACCTAAATTTAGGTTAACCTCCAAGTTGTACTTATCCTTTTTTCCTATCAATTCGTTCGAATAGGAAAAGTTGCTACTTAGGTAATCGTTTCTACATGGGCCATTATTCATCGAATTCTTTCTGCCCATATTTTTACATGTCATAATTGTATTCGCTACATTTTGGCTCCTTACATTTTTATTCATGGAGTCCTCCACGTCATGATCATTTCTCTCTGCCATATGTACGTTAAACGTGTTATCAGCCCCACTTTGGTCATTCATCATGTTCATATTTTTACATTCAATTTGTTCTTTATCGGCCTTGTTTTCCATTACCACGTAGTTCATGTTGTCCTTACTGATGGGGTCACTTTCTCTTGAGCCTCCTTCCGCAGAAGGGCTTTTGGTAAACGGGTGCTCGATGATGTCTTGGTAGAACCCACTGGGGGATGACCCTCCTTGGTGTAGCCCATTTTCGTGAACTGCACTCTGGTGAACGGCACTCTGATACAAACCATTCTGGTACCCCCCATTTGCAAACACTTTCCCCGCGTAGTTATCATAACTGCACATGCTGTTATCGGTGTATATGTCGTTTGAGCTGAACTCCGCTTGGTTAAACTCGTTCGAATTATAACCACTATTCGTGAACCCACTGTCTCCCCCCAAATGGTTCGCATAATTCTCATTCAGGTTCATATCTCCGTCATCCATTTTTCGATTTTCCATTACAGCCTTGTCACCGAATTTACCCAAAAGCGTCTCCACTAGAACATTTTCGTCCATATTTTGCAAAAGGGCATTCATATGGTTTTCGCTAATATTAAAATTTAATTTCTTCATATTTTCCAATATGAATTTCTTCTTATCGAAATTTATATCCATGGGTAAAACTTCTGCACTGCCTTTATTGTCCACAAATTTTGTATTCGTCACTGGATTTGCAATAGCGTTTACGTCGTAGTTTACGGGGTACTCCTTGTTCTGATGGTGGTATGTGTTGTTCGTCATATTGTAGGCGTCGTACAAGTCCGTACTACTCACACCTCCGTTACTGCCGCTGCTACGACCGTTGGCACTGCCGCTTTTGTTATTACTACTGCTCCTGTTACCGTTTCCATTTTCATGAAACTGTGATACAACGGGCTGGTTAAAGTAACCCTTATCATAAGAATTATCATAGTATTCATTAACATAGTAATAAGGATTCTCATAATACATTTTACCAACATTGCTACTGGGTTTCCCTTCCTCTCCATTGGTATATTTTACATCGCAAAAATCGAGAGCCCCGCGACTATTAATCGTGTTACACTCTGGTAACTTTCCGCTGTTGCCGTTTATATTATGATCCGGGTGATTAATTCTGTTGTCAATTATTACACCTCCATTCTTATTAATCATGTGGTCCATCCGTATATCTCCGTTGGCTTGGTGAATTGGATATATTTGACCCGTCGGTGAATTCTCACCATACATCATTGTGCACGTAGCTGAGTTATTGGCCGCTGCCGCATCAGTTGTCATGGCTGCTGTTGTAGTAGGAACTGAAGCACCGGGTGTAATGGTAGTCAATGTATTACCGATAGAAGCATTTTCCATGTTATTCAATTTTTCTCGCGCAGTTGCTTTTTTCACCTTCTTATCCTTTTTGTTAAGTGGCGGTCTTCCTGGTTTTTTCTTTTGGACCTTATTAGTGTTCATATTTTTGGCATCTCCATCAGTACAGGAGGCCATTCTGTTCAACTCCATGTCCATTTTGGTGTTCCCTTGTTCGTAATTGTTTGTAATATAAGCATCCCGTACAAGCCCCTTATTCATTGCACCATTTAGGTTTAGGACATAATTATACGAGTTTGGTGCACCGTCGGCCGTTTCTGCGCTAGCAATGTGATAATCTTTCTTTATCACGGAACTGATGTTCTGCCCCTTCTTCTTAGAGTTCCAGTAGGACTTGGCGCTTCGGGGTTTTCTGCTGCTTGTGTTGCCGCGTGCGCAGAGATTGCCTCCGTCAGGGGATACGTAAAGAGGGTTACCACTTACATGGTTGCCAATATCAATATTAGCGCTCATCATGTTTCCTCTGCCAAGGCTTCCACGACCCCCATTACCTCTACCCCTACTGCCACTACCGCGACCGCCTCTATGACTTCGGGTGCCAGGTTTCTTGCTCATAATGACATCCTCGTAGGGAACTACCTGGCCCATGGGTGTGCCGTTTTCTACGCCCCAAACGAACAATGCATCATTCGGACCCCTGTCAACACCACTGTTGCCATTGCTAATAATGTAATTATCATCTGTAAGATATAGTCCGTCTGTCGGTTCGGAAATCATAAACGAATCCGAGCTCCTCATTCTGTTATATGCATCATTATTTTCGTGATCCAGGTAGCTTTCCATATTGTTCGGATCATACATTTCGCTCATAATAGCATCATGGTGATTCATCGTTATGTTACTGGGAGAAAATGTTGGGAAATTATCATTCCCCATGAGTGCTAAACCATTCTGGCTATTCCTATCGGATAATTCTTCTTCATCCGATTTAATTTTCTTATGAGGATGTATGTTATATTTTTTTTGTAGAAGCTCAGGATTTTTTACTAATCTTAGGCATAGTAATTTTTTGGACCATTCACTTCTAACCCATGTGTTTCCTGCTTTGATAAGAGTCTTCCATCCACATTCGCATTTCATTTTAACTTTGGTTCCATCATTGTTTAGCCATTGACTCATGTACATTTTCTGTTGACACGAATTACAAATTATTAAGGGCACTGGCTTTTTCCACCTTGGACTTCTAACCCAATCATTATTTTTTTTAAGGAAATTCTTAAAACCACATTTACACAATAATTTAACTTTGGATCCAATGTCATCAAGCCATGTGTGTACCCACATTTTGGAATTACATTCATCACATAATATTTGAGGTGCTTTTCTTTGTTTAATATTTCCTCTTCTGGACCAAATCAAATCTGTTCTGTCATAGTTTCTACTTCCGCATTCGCATATCATAATAATTTTCGTTTTATCCTTATCTAGAAATCTGTTTGTTACTAGTAATTCTTTGCACCTTGTGCAAAATATATGGGGTGCCTTTGGTTTTCTTTCATCCTTCTCATCGAAATAACAGTTAGTGATTTGTTTCCATTCATTATCCTCTTTGATGCATTTAAAATAACCGCACAGACAGTAAAATGTGATCATGCAATAATTTTCCACTATTGCATTTTTTTCTACTAATTCTTTGTACGTGCTGATTTTGAGGTACTTTAAGCTTTTTATTTTTTCAATGATGTCTGCGTTTTGTTCCAGTTCTTTCTTCACATCACTCGTGCTCTTCGCTTCCACCGTTTCATCCGTTTCGGGGTTATCACTTTTCGGTGGGTTCATTTGTTTCTCATCTGATGAGCTGGTTGCCACATCCTCTTCTTCGTTCTTTTCGTTCAATTGGTTATCGGGACTACAAGGGTCCATCTCCTCATGGGTACTCTCATCATCGTTTCGTTTGTCGCTCTGGTTGTTGTTGATCGGGTCATCCTGCGTGGTCCATTGTGGTTCAATCTCCGGGGCATTAGCTGTAGCACTTTGTGAGTTATTCTGTGGATCACATTGTTCATCGTTTTGTGTATTATTTTGTGCATCTCCTTGTGTATTATTTTGTGTGTCACCCTGTGGATCATTTTGTGCATCACCCTGTTGATCATTTGAAGCATCACCGTGTGGATCATTTGGAGCATCATCCTGTGGATCATTTTGTGCACAATTTGGTTTATCCCTTTCTGGATCATCCCCGCCTGCTTCTTCCCCCCCAGTGGCTGCAATATGTACGAACTCATTCCTCGCACTTATCTGAACCTTAAACGCATAGAGGCAATTGGAGCATATCAAATTTTTCTCCTTTTTCTTAAAAAGCTCTGTTAAGTTGTCACTAAAGGAATCATCCTCAATGGACGGTAAGGTTACATCATTAATGGACGCTAGGGGGTCGATTTCGTTGTATACCTCTTTATTCTTTTTATAGTAATCCTCTAAGCAAATTTTTGATTTGATTTTTTTTTCCAGTGCTGTTTCGGATTTGCTTTTCTGGGCTATAAATAGGTTCACGCTTCTTTTGGGCTTCCTCTTCGACCTAAAATCTGTTTCCACATTCATTTCTACGTTGTCATCGAAAGCGCTATCATTTATAACCCCTGATGAGTATAAGGCTGAATCAGCATCTCCATGGGCTTCTTCCAATTTAATATTCACACCATTTGCCATCAGACCATTCTGCGACTGACCTATCATGCCAAATGTCCCCTCATATGGAACACTATTATTTACTATCCCATAGCCCGTCTCATTTTTACACATCCTCATCATATTTGAGTGCAAGTTATTCTCACCTAAATATTCATTGTTTCCCTCCTGCTTCACTAAAATGTATCCCTTTTTCATGCTGCCCTTCTTTCTACCACTATGCTTTAACCGTACGGGTTCATTCTCTAGTGGCATATTTTCAGGATCCTCAATGCCCATGTACATACCACCTGTCTCTCCATTTTTTCTACTTCTTCTTGAGGCACCCATTTTATTCTTAAGTTTATAGCCTCTTCTTTTTCTTGGGAGTTCGCCCACTGCTTCGCCATTCTGGATGGCATTATCATCTTGTGCATCTTTATCCTTCTTGCCTTTTCCCCTTCTCCTAACGTACTTCCTTTTCCCTGTGCCGACGTTTCCGTTTACGCTGGTATCGTTTATAATACTATTGCTAATGGACTGGTCATATCCAACACTCCTCCCAATATTGTTGACGCCATTTACGCTCACAATACCATTGGTCGCTGTGTTGGGGTCCTCCTGGACCTTTATCCTCATGTCTTCTTCGAGCGTCCCCCTTAATTCGTCCCTCACGTATCCCTCATAGGAGGAAAACAGGTTTGCAAATCCGTAATTGTTGGATGTATAATACGTAGGAGAAATGTTTTCACTTCCCTCCTCCATACCGTAGCTTGGTTGTTCAATATTGTTGATACCGCTACTGTTCAGGTGACCGTTGCCGTGGTTGTCCTGCATGGTGCCCATCGGATCGTAGACAAACGCCCCCTTCTTATATATATCATCGCGCTTCGCGACATATTCACCTGTACCTATCCGCACAGGGTCGCCATAAGTAGTGCGATTCGCTTGGTTCAGCTGGTCGTACATATTGTTACACGGTACTTGAAACGGGGTGGCCGCCATGGGGTTATCTGTGTATGGGTTATTATTACATGCACCGCTGTTCATGTATTTTACCCCTACCGGATTCTGATTCGGAAAGCTACTGAAGCTGTCGCTCCGGAAAAGGTTGTTCTCGTTATGGTTACTTCCGCCGGTGTTGATACTCGACATGTGTGCATTCTCGCCCATTCGCAATTTTTTGTACTTCCTGTCCGTGACCCGTTTGGGCCCCTTGGTCATATGTCCCTGGGCTGTGTACATGACAGTAGAATTGACATCCTCCGGGAAACTTATAATTCTCTCACTGTTTATATTTTCTCTACTTAAGGATCTTCCAATTTTATAATTCCCAGAACCATACCTTTGATAGTCTACTCCATGTTCGTTGATAATATTCTCGTGGGTACCGTCTCGATAGGTGCTACTAGGCCCCATGACGAAATTGCTATTCTCCTGACCATCCCTCAAAACAGGGGTATAAATAAGCTTCTTATTTTGGTTAGTGAATATTCCGCATATGCTTTTATTGTGACTACGCTTGTGGACGCTCTGCTTCAGCCTCGCGGGGGATCCTTTCGCGTAATTATTTGTTCCTACCAGTTCTGCGTTGTCCATCGAAATTGGTTTCCAATTTTCATTCTGCTCGTTATTTTTCTGGTCGTGTGTTACGAATGACTTGTCAATGTTACCCTCTTGGAATTGGAATTGATCTGGAATCTCATTTTCCTCGTTGGCAATTTTTTTAAGTTTTCTTTTTCGCTTCAATGGCTTTTTCATTTTAATCATTTTTCTATTCTTTTTATCAAAATATAAAACATTTTTGCACAATTCGTCCTTTTCGTTTATGCCGGTAAAATTTGAATTCATGCTCAGATTCATTTTATTTAATTCATCTTGACTTATATTCAGTTCTGACAACTTGATATTCCTCCCGTCTATCTTGACGCTGTTTATGTTAAAATTGTTTTCTTCATGTATACCATTGGTGTAATTATTCTTCTCGCTGTTGTTATCACCCGGTAAGGAATTGGTCACTTGAGCATTACTTTCACTTTCCACAGGGGTGTTGCGTTTTTTCGTACCCCTTTTTTTATTATTCCTTTTCCCGTTATTATCCGGTCTTTGCTCGATGTTGTTCACATTACAGTTGGGTCCCTTATCAGTTCGTCCGTTACTTCTATTTATGTTTAAATTTTCCACAGAACGGTAGGCACTTACATTTTTCGGATCTTCACTAGGCACAAAATTTTTATGATAATAATGGGACGCTTGGCAGAGATTATTGAAGGAAGCCCCATTTTCCATGTTCTTATTTGCTACATAATTTATGTTGTTTCCATCAACGGATACATTACAGCTCCTGTCTAAATAATCGTTTGTGTTGGAATGATTTTTACTTTCCTTGTTATGGGCTGGATAAATAAAACCGTTGCCTCTAGTTTCATTTTTGGTGTCCTCCAATGTTCTTCCGTTGTAGACACTGTTACGGTACATATTTTCACTCACATCACTCATTTGGCCCTTTTCACCAATCATATTGTTATAGTGTGTTGGCAAGAACATAGTCTTATCATTCGTCTCATTCTTTACATTTTTGCTTTTGTCCTGAATGTTCATTCCGTCCTCATTTAAACTGTTCATATTGCTTAGCGAGATATTATCGTTCATTGCGTTTATACCGCTCAAAGGGTTTATACTGCTCATTGCGTTTATATTGCTCATTCCACTTATGCTACTCAGGGCGCTCATGCTGCTCACAGCACTTATGCTGTTCGCCGTGTTGAGGGTGCTTATTCCGCTAATGCTGCTACCCCCATTAACGGTAGCTATGCTACCAACCCCATTCATATTACTCAATGTGCTCGTACTATTGATGTTATGTGTGTCGTTCATGGTATTGCCCATGTGGACCCCATTGGCATCGCTAAATATATTTTGGTTGGTACCCACACCCTGACCTTTCAAAAGGACAGATTCGTCACTGCCTACACCATAGAGACCTCCCTTATGGTAGTAGTCCATGTTTACACAATTCATATTATTTAAATTTTTATCCTCTGGGGGCCTTTCCATGAAATTTATGTAGCTCCCGTTGCCCTTATCCGCAAATTGACTTATCTCCTTAACCATTTTGCCTTCCATCATTTTCTGTATCCCGCTGCATTCTCCCATATTCTTCACATGGTCAAAATCGTTCATACGGGAAGGGCTTCCAACATTGCCTACGCTGTTCATGCCGCCCATCGCACTTACCGCATCGTAACCCATTGAACCAAGGTCTGCATTCATATCAAAATTATTTCTACCCATGTTACTTAAATGGTTATTTTTGAAGGTGTCCCTCATAACCTGCATATTCGAAATATAATCATTGAGCTTATTTCCACTTACATCGTTCATGTCATAATAGGAGGTATTTTCAAATTTGGATGTCTTTTCATTGTAGGGTCCTTCATACATATACGTGGGGGGGTCTGCATTATTTACCTCGTTCTGCATGTTACTTATGCTGATGGGCACATTCTCGTTACTAGCATATTCTACATTTTGTCCCGTTGACCCATTTCCACTGCTTCCGCTGTGTCCACTACATCGCGTGTTCACTTTATACTCATCCTGTTGACCACTCTGTGCCATTCGTCCAATTAGCACATTTTCAATCGGCTGGGCACCCGTGTTGTCCTCCACAGTACTGCTCCCGTTACTATTAGCACTGTTCGTCGAGGCACATGTGTTACGATTTTCCTCACAAGAAAACATGGTGGACATTTGCTGTGTAGCATCCTGATTCATCTCAACATTTTCTTTACCCTTAATACAATACATGTTTAATAACTCCCCATTCTCATTATTGGTGTAGAGATAATTCTGTTTTTCCTCTATCCCCTTGGGCATATCATAATTTGTCAAATTGTCACTCCCTTTTATTTCCGTATACTCCCTCATGTACATGTTGTTATGAGTTCCATCTTGGGTGGATACAATTCCATGTGGTAATTCTCCCTCGCTCTTATAATCCCACTTCATGGGCACGATGCCATTTCCGTTGTATTCATTTTGGAACTGTATGGGGTCGAAAGAGTTATTCAAATTTGATGTGCAAGGAGTTATGTTTTTTTCTGAATGTTCGTGTTCGGTATACTTCTCTTGTGCGTCTTCTTTTTCCTCATATGATGTCATGTAATTTTCTGCGTCTTCACCTGGGCTGTCCCCGCTTTGGTCTTTGCTCGTCTCATCGCAATGATTGCTTCTATTACCGTTGATACTGCAGTGGCTACTTCTTTCGCCGCTAACACTGCCGTTGCTGCTGTCGGTACGACTCTTAGTGGGACTAGCACTGCTGCTGCTTCCTCTGGAGCTTACTGTTGTTTGTTCAAAGTTTTCCTGATATACGCAATATGCATTCTCATGTTGTTTTTGCTCTACATCCATAGTTTTACCTATTTTCTGGGTTCTAGTTTGCTTCGTACCACTTTTCCTGCTTCAAAATTCTAGGTGTGATGTGGGTCAACAAAGGATTTCTACGGGGTGATTAGAATGTGTGGTACTGGCATGCGCTTCGAACTTCTCCTTGTTACGTTTCCTTATTTTCCTTCGATTATCTTGTAGTTTTTTTTTTTTTCTTTTTTATCATATGAAGCGCTCTTCCTGTTTTATTCTGTTGTTGATTTGTGGTACTGCTGGTTAGCAGCACTGCAGATTAGCTGTGTTGTTGATTAGCAGTGTTATTTTATTTGTATTTATATATGTTTCAAATCTTTATATAAATAGAGCATAAATAGGCATAAAATACATTTAACAAACTAAAGGCGTTAACAGCCAAAGTACTACTTTTTGACACTCGCCAAATGTAAGTACATCAAAGAAAACAAATACTAACAGGTGTTGGGTTTAGAGCGCTGGGTAATTATCCGCGCACATAAATTTGCCGGATGGCACTCCCATGTACATACGACTGGTGTTCATGAAGATTTTGAGGAACCAAGTGGGAAAATATGTGGTATACAGAGAAACATTATAAAAAGAATACAAATTATTCGTTGTTTTGGGGGGGGGGGCAAAAATTTACGTACATAAAAATATATGTACAACAGTTGAGTTCATATGGAGAACAGGCAACTGAGCATATATGGGTTCAGGCGCATGGTTTTACGCCTATACTTCACAGGTGCGCTTCAAAAGTACACAACGCGAATGTACATCCAGATGTACACTTAAAAATAGGTGTTCTTTTTCTGTTTTTTTTTTCGCTTAAATGAGTTAACACATAACGGAGGGTGATGTAAATAATTCGAATGTATCTAATGTAACAAGAACATACGTACGTACATACGCACGCATAGATGAAGATGATCAACTTTTAAAGGTATGCCAAAATTGGGTATCTATTAAAGCAACTGTGCTGGCATATATAGATGCGCACGAATGGGGAAATGATGAAGGCAAACATATTCAATGGGTAACGTATAGGTGGAGGTATGTTAACACGTCGCGGGGGGGGCAAGCTGAACGAGTTGTCGTGTTGTCGCGTTGCACGCCTGCGCGCTACACGAATGTGGGATGCATACACGTATGCATATAATTACTTACAAAACAACGAAAATGAAAACACAAATAAATTAACGCTGTTTCGCCCATTTAAATCGAATACTTCAGATGTATATTTACAACACATATAAAGATTAAAAGGGAGTTTAAATATGAATTAACAAAATGAAGCTAATTTACATAGCCATATACATATGTACACGTACATTTGTATACGCGGTATAAAAATAAATAATAACAAGGCTAAAAATAAAAACAGGCGTGGATACGCATACATAATGTGGTATACTCTGATATACCATGCGCACAATTGTGACATACTTACATATTGTACAGATACATTATATACACATATTATAGGCCAAAGGGAAAATTCAAAACAACTGGAATATTAATTAAAAACATACGTAAATATTTGATGCATAAGGCTGATTCATAAGGTTGTTATATAAGGTTGATAATAAAATTGATTCATACGGTTGATGCATAAGGTTCATGCATAAGGCTGTTACATAATGTTGTTACATAAAGTTGTTACATAAGGTTGATAATAAAGTTGATGCATAGGGTTCATGAATAAAAAGTTGAAGATTCGTCAACACCTGCAGTTGTACATCGTTACAATTGAAAAAATAAAAATTTTTGAATGCAAAATGAAAAAAATATATTTGCCAATTTTTTTTTTTTCTTT